GGTGAGATGAGAGATGATGAGATGTTGGAGATGTTCAGATGTTCCTCAATTCTTTAAATCTCCCGTTCTATCTGCACTTTGTTTTCCTGAAGCGCCAGCCATGCCGCGTGGCCTCTTCGAACGGCAAGGTGAGTGAAAAGGGTATGCGCAACTGGGCTCCATGTACGTGGGCTAGTGGATGCTAGCTGCCAGTGGATAGTTCCAAAAACACCCTTGCAACCGCAACCTCTTTGTATATTTGGATAAATGAGGAGAGTATCCACACCGCACAGTTCGCAGTGTATGATGCAGTTGCTAGAGAGAAAGCGCTTCAATTTGTCTCCATTGCCTACAGTTGCTCTAGGTTGGAGGCCATTGCTAGTAGGTTGGAGGCCATTGCTATTAGATGGCACTCCGGTCGGTGAGTGTGCTGCAACTATATAAGGCTTCAGCCACCCTGGTGCTTCGTGAAGCCGCTTTGAGAGTGCCGTCCAACAAGTCAACAACGGCGCCGAGTCTGCCAATGAAAATGGCAGGTGTGGTCCTGCTCACACGAAGACGTGGGTGTGTATTGAGAGAGGGAGACCTCCAAAAGACACCCCTGGAAGAGGGGAAATTGACCAAAACCTACTGGTCGGGCCCCCCTATTAGAATTCATACCCTTGTGGCCACATTGTTGCAAGTTCGACAGGTGGTGAGATGAGACAATGAGAATGTTGGAGATGTTTTTTAATTATCTAGCTCTTTGCAATGCAATGTCATCGCCTGTTCAATCTGGAAAGTGGGCAAGAGTGGAAGGGTATATGCCAATGGTCCTGGGCTAGTTGCCTCAAAACATTGAAACAGATGCAGCTTTTCAATTTGGTTCAGGAGTGCGCCAGCACATCCGGAGCTGTGTGAAGATTCAAGATCAGAGAAGCATTTGGCAGTGTCAATGCGCACAGACGAGCTCGTTTGATGCTCGAGGTCATTCCCTGAACTGTCGATTCACGCGCTCGACCCAGCGGGTCGATGCGTGAGTAACTCCCTTGGTCACTTGCCGAACCACGCATTTTGGGGTCTCCATGTTTCAATTCCGCGTTGCATCGACTCACTTGAAGAGGTGACTTGGCTGTTTCCTGAAGCATATGGACCTGGGCCATGGCAAAACGAGGCCTCGCAGCCGTCAGACATGGATGGGTCGGCTTTGTAGCTCACATTTCCATACATTTCCCACAACCTTTCCCGTACCTTAGGGCAGTCCCTGCAAACTCTGGGAGGTTGCGAACCCAGTGTGAGTGTGGCCGACATTTCCAAGAAACAATTGTGATCAATGCTGGACGCTTTATCTCAACATGTTTGGCAACTTCATGCAGCTACCAGCGACCAATACAGTAGCTACCATGTTCCATAGGAGGCAGACTGGTCTTTAAAGCGCACTTTAGGGATCTTTTAGGGAGAAAGCTGAGAAGGCCGGAGTCGAGCACTCCTTTGGACGGAGAACCTGTTCCATTTCCCAAAGCCTTGAGATTGTTGTGCTTGCACAATCTTCCAGACTGGCCAGGTGCATTTGCCCTTTCAGATCGCGCCAGTACGATGCGTTGGAAAAGAGCTTTGCAGTGCACCAGCAGAAGCATCCAGACCGTTATGGTGTCCGCCTCCACTAGCACCCAGCATGTACAAAGACCACCTTTGTACATGACTTGTCCAACGGAAGGCGCATTAGAGTTTGCTTGAGTTTGGCCAATAAGATCATCTCTGGAAAGGCTTTAGCTGAGGTCTTGGATTCGTCTGTAGACTTACTGACTTAGAAGAGCTGCAGAAAAATGCGGTCGAACTTGGAGAAATGGTCGCCGTTGTTGCTCAGGTGGAGCGGCAACATCCAAAGAGGTGTGCTGCAGAGAGCCTCAAAGGCCCATTTTTTCCAGATTAGACAGCTAAAGCTAACCCAAGCTTATTCTTGACGCTGATAAACTACGATAAACTGCTAGCCACCACCTCCCACTACCCGAAGCATTTGGTCAAGTGTGGTTTGATAAATTATGCCCGGTTACGGCATCCTGTGGACCCTGCCACCCCGGCCGCATCCTTCGGACGGGCCGCGAACGGATGTGCCGCGATGCCGCGATGCTCCCACGACGGGCTCCCAGCTCGCTCGACCTCCCGCGACGCACGGCTGCTCCGCGCCGGCGCAGCAGCGGCGCTGCGCACCACAGCGTCCCGGAGCGTTGGACACGCACGGCGCTGGCCACCCTCGGACTCGCGAGGTGTCTCGCACGCGGAGCGCCCGAGCGTCAGCTCCGCGGAGGACTACGTGCTTGCGCTGAGGGACAAGAAGGGATGGAAGACATCTTGGGAGATGGAAGTGTATTGAAGAGTGTTGTTGAAGAGGGCGATGACCCTCCAGTCTATCCCATTTTTGGTGATGAGTGCATCACACACTTTGTAGGGACCTTGCCGGATGGGAAGATTTTCAACGACACCATGAAGCGGGACCAGCCTTTCAAGTTCGCTTTGGGTGCCCAGGAAGTCCTGGAAGGCTTTGATGAGGGCGTGGCCACCATGCGTCAGGGCGAGCGTGCCGTGCTGCACTTAACGCCCGAGGTGGCTTACGGAGCACTGGGCGCAAGAGATGAGGCGGGGTGGCAAGTGCCACCCGACACAGCGGTGACCTTTGATGTTCGCTTGCTACAAGTCATCAAGACTGCAACACCTGGATCTGACGGACAGTCCGAGGCTTCCAGGGGCTTTGGACGTCAAGATGTTGGGAAAGGGGGCCAGGATATTGCCTATCGCTGGGAACGGAAGGGGGCAGAGGTCTTGGTGATCGTACCAGTGCAGGAGAACATCCAGCTGAAAGATGTGAGCCATAGCTTTCAAGAAAAGAAGGTGGTCCTCCAAGTTCAACAAGAGGTGATCTTAGAAGGGATTCCAGGATGTGACCTGGAGCCTGAGGAGTGCTATTGGGAGTTCGAGACGGACCCCGCTGGTCGGAAGTGTGTCTTCGTTCATCTGCAAAAGAAGGGGTCGCTGACGGCCAGATGGCCGGAGACTCTATTGAAGTAGCGAAGACGACGCTCCTTCGATGGATGAAAGGGACCCAACCTTTGGAGCACCACTGGGTGCAATGAGATGGGTCCATTCAGCTGTGTTGAAGTGACCGCGAGCTTTTGTTACCACAAGTGAAGTTGAGAGGAATCCGCAGTCTTGCACCAAAAGACTTTGTAGTGCTAATTCAGCCCCTGCGGAGGCTGAATGAGGCTGAATTCAGAAGCTGTTTCGTTAGGCCCCACCTCCCTTTTTTTGACGCGTCCTTTGAGTGGGCTTGATAGACTCAACTTCCAACCTTTTTCTGTGGAACGATGGTGAGATTGGACGAAGAAAGCGTGGCACGAGTCTGGGGGGGCAGAGAATCGCTTCAGTCCCAAAAGGATGACCATGGCCGCCATGGCCCCAAAAGGATCAGGTGGTTTTCCGATTCGAAGAATCCACTTCGATCTTCCATGTCCGCAATAAGGACCCCTTTGCACGTACTTCCGGTCCAACAACCCACAGCCGGCGATGAAAGCCTGGTGTGGTGGTGTCGTTGCCTGGGCTCAAGCGTATCGACACCCGGTCCGAGTCCATGCCGAGGCGCACGGGGCTTCTGGGTGCATCGGACAGCATCGCATTCATCGGACAGTTGGATCTTCCGTTGACATCGACCTCATCTATATTCTAAAAATTGATCTCAACCAGTTGAGTCACTGTCACCTAGCTATTAGAAACATCATTCATCTAACGGTCACCTAGGTCTTTGCGAAGACTTTGGGGATCTCCAACGGGTCCAATCCTCCAACTCCGAAAGAGGACACCCAAGAGGAAACGCGCCACTCGCCAGGTCGCCCAGCCGATCCCGGAGCCTGGGCGCCCAGCAGTCTAGAGTCTAGCGGCCGACAATCAAACTCGAGGACCAAACAGTTGAGAGAAATCACCATGTCAAGAGATATCAAGAGATGCCAAACTTGGGTGAGCCCAAAGTTTTGGGCAACTGCTAGTAGTGTATGACAGTGGTGTGATGTTTATGTCTATGTAGCCTGAATCATTGACATTGAGGGCGTAATTAATTTGAACTTCAGGACGTACAATGGAGTGCTCGAGTGTATGTTCGCCTTCTTAAAAGCCGAGTGTATGTTCGCCTTCTTAAAAGCCCATTTGCCCGAATGGCTGGGCCATGTTTTGCGGCTGCGAGATAGGACGTTGTTTGATGTTCACGAACTGTTCACGATGGGTTTATGTGTTGGCCTTGATCGCCCCATACAGCAACGCGGTCGGTGGTGCAGTTGGTGCAACAACGAAGAGCCTTTTGTTTAGACACGACGTGCAGTGCCACTCGGTCGGTGCTTCGAAGGATGCGATTTTTGGGCCGCTTCGGCCACCAAGAAGACAAAACTCATGCAAGCAAGACTTCTGACGTATAGACGGTATAGTTGTATAGATGGTCTGAATTAACGTCATTCTTTTTGGATCAGGTCTTCTGAGGTCTTTTGCTTTTGTTTGGGGGCTCTTTTGTGAGGCCCGGCGCGGCGGAAGGAGGATCGCCGCTCGCCTTCAGGCGAAGGCGGGCGACCGGGCTGCTGATATTTGTTATTTCTCCGACATCTTCAGATCTTTTTGAGGTTGTTTGCTTTCCCCACCCAACAGGATGGGGGAAGCTAGATTTTAGAGTAGATCGTCCCCTGACCTGTGCTGCCAGTGCCTGGCCAGTCCAATTGCAAACATGGCAACAGACTGACTAACAAACAATGACACATACACAATATGGCGTGAAGTCCATGGCAAAAGACACCAGAAAATGACACCTGGTTGGGTGGGGATAGCTTGAAGGTAAGTATTTTCTCTGTTCTCTTGGCTTGTTTTTTTTTTTTTTGGTGCTTCATGTTCCCGAAGCAGTTTACTGGTTTGGGTTTTTTTGAGGTCTTAGGAGAAATAGGGCTGGCCATGGCCGCGCCGATTGTTTGTCCGGGTTTGTTTTCTTGTGGCTGGTGATGCAGCGTTTCAAATTTGAGATCATCCTGGTCCCCCCCCATTTGTTTTGATTACAGGAGGCTCTAGGGATACAATGGGATACAATTGCATTTCCACCAACCTTGGACATTCAAGGGAATTGGCGCAAAAGTTATGTATCAAGAATCCATGTTGAAACTGTTTGGGGTCTATGCTGGTACAATCTGCAGCTCTCAGAATCACCCGGGAATGGGCAGTTAAGTCGTCAAAGTGGGATATGATGTGACCTCCACACCAAGAAGGTCTTTGTCCTCATGCTCGTCCTGTTTGGACCGGTCGTCTCAGGTCTTCTCAGGTCTTCTCCGTGCTTTCAAGTTGTTGCAGTCCTGTTGACCAGAGGCGATGAGCCCGTGGCCTGGCTCCAGATTGGGGATCTTCCGCCCAAGTCCAACTGGAGCCGATGCCTGAATTTTCCGACGAACCATCTGGTCATCTATGACGAGGCTGAGTTGAGACAAATAGACCCAACGTGTAGTTGTAGTTTGCCTGAGCTGTTTGCGAGGTTTTTGTTGTCTCTGCTGAAGTGGGAGCCTAGCGGCAGCGGCTAGTAGCAGGTGTTTGTCACTTCCTGTGCAATACTTACGGGGCAAGGTTTTGTCTAGAAACAATCAAAGTTTTTTCAACTTTCTGCGAGCCAAGGCTGTATGAGGCGGCTGGTGACTCAAGCTGGAGGCCCTCACATTCCAGCCACATCTTGCAAGCTCGGATATGAAAGGGGGTCTTCAGCAGGGGGGTTCTTTGGGTGTCAAGTTGCGAGTGATTGTGTTTCGTAGATTTTCCCGCTTAGACTTTGAATATCCCAGTGCCTACCTTTGAATTCAGAGTCGTAGACGAGAACTGGTTCCCAATTCGCATAGCACGAGAAAAATTACACATCGATGCCAATGGTGCATGTGAAAAAAAGGCACGTGGAACGCAGTGACGAATTACTTTGACCAGTTTTGATCCATGATTGGTGTCATCAAGCCACTTCCTCTTCTTTTCAACATTTTTCCACCCATCTTCCATCCTGTTATTTTTCGGTACCTGCAGGGCACATCCTGGGCGGAAAGGTCAGGGCCTCAGAACGATCGAGGCTTGATACCTGCGACCTGCGAAAGCGGGAAGGGCAGGGCTGTTGTGAGATGCTATAATGCGACAATCACGGGGAATCGTTTCACCTGTAGTAGCAAGAAAGAAGCTTTCGAAGGTCTTTGATGTACAGTGCGACCTGCGGACTCGAGTCAGCCATGGCTGGATTAGCAGTGGACGACGATCTAGTATATATAAATCCCCTTCGTCTGGATTCTTTTTGCGGGTTAGGTTCTTTGAATTTCACATTGGTTTCCCCAAGTTGCCCTCACGAAAAGTGTGACACCTCATGTGTCACACGTCGCAGTCGTCTTTCGCTCGTGTCGAGAGTCTTGCTTTGCTCGGTCAAGTCTGTCTCTCCCGTCCGTGTGTCTTCCCCGAGGTCTATCCGTCCCATCGGCCGCCCTGTGCATTGGCCAAAGTGGGTAGTGAGAAAGAGGCGAGCTGAGCTGTGAAAGAAGCCCGATGAAGCCGACCGCCAGATGAAGCCGAACTCGGCCTGAGACAACACCGCGTCAAACCTGGTGGACTTTCTCCGGTTTGATTTCGGCGTAGATGTCACCCTTGAAAACGGGATCCATAAAGAATAGTTCCTTTTAGGAACAAGAAGCTACTAGGGGCTCCTGGCCGTACTACTAGGAGCAAGGATGCTACTAGGGGCTCCTGGCCATACTACTAGGAACAAGAAGCTACTAGGGGGTTATACCCTCCCCATCACTCCCGGCAACACACATGGAAGTGGACAACAATGGCCCTTCCGGGTGCCATTGTAATTTTCCCTTGTTGAAGGGGTGCCATGTTCAGATCTGAGCAGTCTGCTTGCGCAATCTCTGTGAAACCTAACTGCATCACGTGAAACCTAACTTGCAACTGATGGGCCATCGGGGTTTGGTAAGAAGTCATTGCATCATTGCAGGTCACGTGCGGTTGATCGCTCCACGGCGCGGTCATAGGACCGATCTGCGATCGACCGGTCACCACCGGTCGATCGCTCCGGTCAGGCCGAGTCGGTGGCACGGAAGCTAGATGGCCCGGGTGCCCGTGGAGCAGGGCGATGCCATGGCACCGATGGACTGTAGGCTCAGCCATGGCGTATTTGTAGACGTAGGCTCAAGTGGCGCTGGGACGGGATCAAGTTGCGGTTTGCTTGAACATGAGTTCATGGTCTTGCCATCATTCTTTGTTGGTAGATTTCCATGAGACCAACTCTGGCTCCATTTTCCACTTAAGGAGCTCCGGCTCTGGTGGGGGGGGCCTTCACCGATGCGATGTGTAGGCGATAGCACCATGGATATCGGACCAACAACAGAGTGTGTAGGGGGTCACACTTTCATAGGCCTCTTCTGACTTTCGTGGACCCAATTCTCAGCTTTTCGAAGTTTCCCACAATTTGGCTCAACAGCCCACAACTTGGCTTCCTGGTCTCACCCGGATGGACCTCCTTTTCCCCACTCTAGTTGGAGGCCATCGCTAGTAGGTTGGAGGCCAACGGCCAACACTATAAGGTTGGAGGCTCCCCATTGCTATTTGGTTGGAGGCCATTGCTATTAAGTTGAAGGCCTTTCCTCTTTGGTTGGAGTTGGAGGCCATGCTTTTTTAAAGTTTGGTTAGAGGCCATGCCTTACTTCCCCGTCCGGGTCGGAGCTCTTCAGGTTCCGAGCTGTCGGGCCGAAAGATTACCTGCCGAATCGTCCGGGACGAGGAGGAAAGGGGTGACCCCGCCTGGGACAAGGGGAACGCTACGAACGGAACAAGAAGCTACTAGGGGCTCCTGGCCTTACTACTAGGAACAAGGTTCGCTACTAGGGGCTCCTGGCATCGCTACCAGGAGCAAGGACGCTACGAACGGGGCTCCTGGTCTTACTACTAGGAACAGGAAGCTACTAGGTGATTGGTTCGGGAACAGGATGGAGCAGGTGTGATTTGTTATGGCAGTCCTGTTTTGGGAGTGCAAGTGGTAGTGACGTCGACTTGTTCTTGTTTTCATTCTCGTGACTCTTTCCGTCATCCTTCTTCCCTTTCCTTTTATTCTACCTGAAGTTCTTTTTGTTTATAAGACCCTACGATTTGATTCAAGTCCCCAATAGTCCCCACACAAAATTTGAGTGATTCCTAATTTGTCTGAATTCTTACTCTTTTGACTTGCACGTGTGTTCACACTCCCATTAGTCAGAATTGATTGACCACGGTTGGGCGACCAGTGGAGGGTATTTGCTGCATTTCTCGCGGTGGAGGTCGCCAGAATTGGTTTGGACACGGCAGGAGAGAAGAAAGATCGAACGCAGCTGAGGGCTGCGATGCCCATACTGAGGTGGATGAACTGGAAGAGTTGGGATGACTTCGCTGTGGAGAGCCCTTTTGCAGTCCAACTTCGCACATCCCAACTGGTCCAAAAATATGTTCGAACTATGACCAATCCAGGGTCATCCTGAGCCAGAGACGTCCCGCAGGGGCACGAATTGGTGTCCACGCAGTGTCATAGGAGGAAAAGTGCCAAAGCGCGACTGAATGACTGATGCAATAATATGCAATAATAGACTCAATAGACAATAGACCTGACCTGAATTCGGTTGGAGGCCATCCCAAGGGCCATTCCCATTAGATTTTTACAGTCTTCTGAAAGAATCATTTAAAGGGAAACATGTTCCTAGGTTGGAGGCCTTTTTACATCGAATTGCAGCAGCTCCTTATGTAGATCACTGGATCACCAGCCTCCCAACGGTCGCGGCGCTGCGGGCTTCGATTGCAGTCGTGGGGCTCTTTTCTGGCCTGGCTGCGAACCGACTGGAGCTGTATTTCCTCATATGATGCTGGCCTCGTCCGATTTGACGGGAAGTTGAAATGAATCTCATGGTGGCCTGTGACGGTCTGCCACCGGTGCAGCGTGTCGGCCAAACATGTGAGACCAGGTGGGATCGGAGGATGTGGAGGATGGGTCAATTCACAACAAAAAGAAGAGTGTGTCTTGTAACTTGATTGTAGTTTTTTGAATACAAGAACCTATTAGAAACAAGAAGCTACTAGGAACAAGTGCCTTACTACTAGAAACAAGAAGCTAGTAGGAACAACGGTTCGGTTCCTTTCATTTCCTTTCTATCCCAGATTCTTTTGTCGTTGGCCCTTTGGACCTTTCTTTGCTCCTTCATGTCTTCCTTCCTTTCTGCCTTCCTTCCTTGACTTCCCAGTGACATTGCGGTGTGTGGGGTGAGCAGTAAAGAAAGATCTTGGGATTCCACTCGCTTTGGCTGAGCTCAGATCAGACTCCAGCTTTCAATGATGATACACCACCCATCACTGCGGCTTCACCAAAGGGGACAAGAACGGTCCGACCGAAGGTCGTTTCGACTCGCTGTCAGCATGATGGCCCGAATGTTCTTAGTGGGGGGTGCGAGAAAAGCAGAACCAGATTGATGAAATGAGAAGAAATCAACACACCTTGATCAACTCATCATGTCAAGTCAAGCCTATCATTCGAACAGAAGAATGGCAGGATGATTGGAACGAGCTATCAGCTGGGGCGATCCGACCGAGCGATGTCGGAGTCGACACCCAAGTGGTGTGGGGATTGGGGAGCTTTTCAGCGTTTCCATCTGAAGACATTCTCTCTAAAAAGCCGAGCCCACTCACCAAGGGCCAATAGACTTGAAGGGCCATGCCTTGGATCCTTTCGTTCCGGCTCAGCCACAAACAGTGGGGGCGGAGGTGAAGGGCACAGGAACCGCCATGCCGCCGACCCCTGCATGGGACACCGGCTTCAGCGTCCGCGGACCGCCGCGATCCTGAGGCGTCGCCGTTCCTGTGTGGAGTTTGCGGAGGCGTCGCCGTTATTTTCTGACAGAACATGGATCAATCAGATGTTCATTCAGTGTCATTCAGAACATAATTGATAAATCAGTAGGGTGATATCGAACGATATCGACATAAAGACCGAGCCGGAAGAAGGTCGCTGTTGGCGCTGTCAATTAGGATCTATGAGGGGGAAACCGGTACAAGGCATGGTTTGGGCAGTGGTGAGACGTGCCCCAGTGAGTTGATTCAAGTTGATTCCCGAGGTGGGTGTGTCCACCTTTTTGTCGAAGGGACACCACTTGTGGAAAGGGGCGAAGAAAAAGGCGACACGGGTGCTATGAGGATGGTCTTGAAGGGGAAGTCTTCACGTTTGACAATGTTTTGCCAACGCTATAACTGACTTGTTGTTTTCAAGCGACTAGGCAACCCGCTTGAAAACGAGCTCACTCACTGCTTGGTGACGTTGGAAAAAGGACGAATCGGCGAATCGCTTGTGCGCTAGGAAGAGGAAGCCCGCTATGAAGACGGTGCTTGAGCTCACGGGGAAGGGACGAGCGGGCATGGCCGGAAAAATGTGACAAAAGTAAGCATTTGTGTGTTCTTGCCCTGGATTTTGCCAGCCATGTCGATGGTAGGTGATGCTTCGCCAAAGTCATGAATGAGTTGTCAACCGTTTTCCATGGAAGGTTAGAAAAAGATTCATGTGCACAAAGGGATCAAAAGGCATGCGATGCTATGATATGCTATGCCGCATGCCATGCTTATTGGCTGGCCGTGACTGTTGGAAATGTAATTTGGCCCAAACCTTCCATACAATGGTACATTTGTGGCATTTCCAAAGCTAATTACAGTCTTTGTTCGCGGGCATCGGACCATGGTATCGCTTCTCAACATTCACTGCGGGGTGTATGTTGGTTCAGCAGAACCCAAGGAGGTGCACTTGCAAGTTTGTGTGTTTGGTAGTTGTTTGTTTCAAGGTTCATTGCAGTTTGTGAGGCGAGTAGCAGCCGCGAATGGAAAAGTGAAGCCCCTTGAAGTCCAGTCGTTTGTGCAAATCCTCTTACGTTGGATAACCCTTAGAACCTGCATTCTTTCATATCATCAACGGGGGTCAAGGTTAGACACACGTCCCACACCGCTCCTATCAAAAGCCCGGGTCAGTCTATGTCCCCTTTCACATGTTTTTTTCTCTTTCCGGTTGCGAACTTGAAGGAAAGGAAGGAAGAAGATAATGATAAAGACCGTGGAAATAGAAAACACGTAAAACTATGTGAACAGAATTGAACAGAGATATCCCGCTTTGGCCAACACGTCGTGCCCCACTTCCTTCGCGCTGAGGTGAAGGTGATGAGACGGACTCAACCTTGGAAGTCTCTCGTCAGTGAACTCCAGTGAGATCGGCAGGTGGTGTCATGATTTGCCATGGTGGGGAGAAAGAGAAAAGACCTCAGGAAAAGAAACTTCAAGAGCACCTTCGGAAAACTTCCTGCTTGAGTTTGCGGTTTTGCTCATTTTGCTCTTCTTTCTTTGCATGGATGTAGTTTGTAGGACACTTGTTGCTCCACAGGCACCTGCGGACATCTACAGCTCTGGATCGGTCGATCCGTCGACCGAAACCGCTCAGGATTTGGAGACTCGCCTCTCAAGCCGGGAACCCGGACCGGATGTGATCCGAATGCTTGATTCGTTCGGTGGTTTTTTCAGCGTGCTGAGTGTGCAGTGTCTTCCCATCGTTTTGTAAGTTTCTGCGATCCCCGAGCCTGCCTTGAGGTGCCTCCAAACGATGCTTGGCCTGTGGGTGGCACCAATTGGTCAACCCTTACAGCCAGGAACAGCAGTTTTGTTGAGTGGGGCAACTGGGAAACCATTCCTTTTCAGTTACATGGCGACCGCGGGCGAAGTCTTCTTCCTCCAACCTCAACGGGAAGGATTCCATTTCAGGCACGGCCTTTAGAAATGCACCAATCATTTTTTTGGATTTTGGCAGCTGAGGAATCGCTTCACCTGTGATGTTGGGCTCCGACTTCATCACCAAGGCGAACACTGTGCAGGAACTACATGAGCAGGAACGGGGGCTGCTCGCCCGAATGAGACCTAAACGTCGCTAAACGTTGACTCGACTGAGGGAACACATGAGTGACAACCCTTCTGCACCAAGAAGTGGTACGGCTTCTCACACATCTAGATGAAGTGGAGGGGTGTCCAGAGTTCTTGTTGATCTATATGTGGGACCCGGACCCGTGGCCTTATACCTGCAGATCCTTATGCGGCATGGCCGGATTCAAGCAGATGAAATGCCGGTCATATCATATCCGTCAGAATTCAAGGCATTTGAGGCGGCATGGTTTCAGTTCGCAGAGGATACCACTGAAGTTGCAGCTGACAGCGCCACAGTCTCTCAATGCCGGAGAGCGTGTAGCTATCCCCGTCCACTAGGAGCGTCCAGCTAGGAGCTTACTCCCCTACTTAAGTTAAGTGGGAGGCAGGGTTGAGCGGAACAAAAACCAATAAACAACCAAAAAAGAAAAACACCTCATTTCTTGCTGATCCAAGGCTTCGCAAGTGGGCGAGCTTGGTGCTTTGGCATCCCATCACTGGCAACTGCCTTGGTCTTCTGACGCTGTGCCTCGGCAAGTCTTGGACGTTTTGTGTTTTTGCCGTAATTTTGCAAACGTCGGCTGCCATCTTGAGTTGCAAGCCGAGGTAAGTCCCAAAATGCCCCCATGACTTTAAATTTCTACATATTGTTCAAGCCACTTCTGCCTTTTTGTTGCAGTAACATCAGTGGGTTTCAAGATGTTTCAAGCATCTTCACATCCAGCACATCCAACAGAATCCAACACATCCAGCACATCGGTCAACTCCCCAGGTTCGATGCCTACCTCAGCTGCGCAGACATCGACCGGCGGGCAGCCGATCTGTCGGAACCCCCTTGGCTCGCTTGGTCCATGGCCTCGCGGCCGCAGAGGTGTCGGGTGGTGCCGGGTCCGGTCCGGTCGGCTGGGCCTCGGGCCTCGGGCGGACGAGGTCGGAGGGCGAAGCGAACGACGTCTTTGGGGATGGTGCTTTTTTGGGGTTGCGAGCTTCCCGCCGGCGACCGTCAATGATAGTCACCAGGCACGGCACCACCCCCAATCCCTAATTACGTGCGATTGGCACCAGAAGGATTTGCCCGGGGTTCGCCCACTAATCACATTGTGTGGTTTGGAAGTCTGCCGCATTGGTTCAGAGAAGAGCTTTGGATTGAGGCTCTCTGGGTTTTTACTAGACCGGCGCATTCAAGAGTCAAGAGTAGAATTGAGTAAAACATAGTAAAGCCATTTGATTGTGAAAGGACTTGAAAGCTGTATGCATCCAATCGAGCAATGATATCAGTGGTCTGCAGATTTTCAGGGGACCATGCTCATCCATCCTAAGTCAAATTTTCATAGGACTCAAGCCCACTGCTGGAACAACCGATGGCCAAGGATCTATGTTTGGCTGCGCCCTTTGGCCAAAGTGGAAAGACGGAGTGATTTGCATTTAGAAGAAACCACAGTACTCTTTGAAGCTACTAGTAACAAGTGCATCGCTACTAGGAGCAAGTGCCTTACTAGTAGTAACAAGGTTCGCTATTAGAATTGAACTTAATTTTAAATGGGTCCACAGGGATGACTTGTTTCAGATGACTTGTTGTCCTGATGGGATCCTATCGGGCTAGTCTTTCAGGCCCGCTATGCGGCCCCTTTCAGGCTAGTCTTCTGCATAGAATGCCACTTGCTCTTTCAAAGCCATAGCGGCATAGCCCCAGCGCACAGCTGACGTGTGGCTCCACAGCTGACGTGAACTGTTGAAGTGAAAGGTACACCTTCGAATACTTGATGTGGTGCTATGTGCGGAAGTTCGAAGTCCTCAAAGACAAGATGTTAGTGCGACTTGGCAAGGAAGCACTTCTTGCCGGCTCGCATTGGACAAACGTGCAATCAAATGAGATGCTGGTGACTGTTGCTTGATATGCAGTGGACCTGGACAATTAGCTTCGCACCCGAAGCCACATGTTTTTGAGGGTGGGGTAAGTTTTATAAGTCTTACTTACTTTGGACCTGGACTAGAAGAGCACAAGTACTCTGCATAACAAGAACTGCAATTGGTTGGAACGTTGGCAGCAGAACGCCCGTTTGCCGCTGCACATTGATTGATGGACTCGCCTGTTCTGTGATTCGGACCACTTAAGGGTGGACCTTTTCATCATCCTTTGCGGCTTTGTTCCTTGGCATTAGGTTGGAGGCTCTCGCTGTTAGGTTGGAGGCCATTCCTACTAGATTTTATGGTCTTATTAAAGAAGCTTTTGAAGGGGATAACGAGCGTTGAGAACAGTTCTGGCTACATACTTGCGAGTTCTTTTGGTGACATGTATTTCAGGGACTTGTATTTATAGAAGCCCTGGCAGTGAAACAGTTGTGAGCCGACATGGCATCCCTGAACCTCCAATCTGAACATGATCTCGGCGTCCAGGCCGAGCTGATCCTTTCCGAGACCATGGGTGCCCTCTTCGTAGAGAACTTCAATTTGCTGCGCATGCTCCGCGTCGCGCGGATCATCCGAGCCGCGCATGAAAAGTACTGGGACGAGGTGTTGGACGACCACCGGAGCGGTGTTTGGCTGTTTTTGGGGCATCCCTTTCACAGGAAAAGAGGTTAAATAAAATCAATCGTTTTGTAAAGACCTTTGCCATCCTTTACTAGCTTCAGTTTCTTTTTAGAACTGGGATGTGATAAATGTGTGATGCTTTCACATGCCGTGATGGTCAACGAGCTCTACTTCAACCATGTCACGAGTTTGGTTACCTGGTTGGTGAGCTTGGAGGGGAAGATGTCAGGCCGTGGTACCATCACTCCTAGGTTGGAGGCCATCGCTCTTAGGTTGGAGGCCATTGCTATTAGGTTGGAGGCCATTGCTAGCAGGTTTATTAAATGATCTATTTTTGTTCTTTATGTGACAAGGCAGCTCTCTGGCACCTGTCACATCCGGTCGGCCGTTGCCACCGTCGTGACTCCTTGTCAAGCCATTCCGCCCAGTGGTGTGCAGACGCCAAAACCAGGACTCTTGAAGCTCTTTCGTCGCTTCAGTTACCTGAAAGAGTGGCCAAACTGCAGTTATGCCGCTGATGGGTAACTAATGGGTGGCAGACATGTGAAATGGGGTCCCTTTGGATCAAAAGGCTTACAGACCTCGTTTGCAAGTGTCACAGGTTGCAGACTTTTGTCATGCCACAGGTTTGTTACCAATCTTACGGGTTACCGAACTTCTTTTTCCTGCTCTTTACCTCACGGCCTCTCGGCTGTGATCTCAATGACTCCAAGATGACTTGCTGCGTAATGCCTGGCTTTCTTGAACCCCCGGGACTATCATCTCCCAGTACGGGCATCAAATGGTGAAACTGCAGCTTGATGTTTTTCTTCATTCTTCTTCAACAAACCATGCAACTTTGACACTTTTGATCACGTGCGCATTGAATGCCCCGCCGCAGCTGTAAGCAGCTCAGACACCTGCATCAGCCCCCCCACCTGCTGATCATGGCTCGCATGGCAACCGCAGGGGCTGTGGCCCTCTCCGCCGGCAGTTTGCTGACCTTCGTGGCCCCAAAGGCTCAGCAGGTGGGAGGGAACTTTTGAGGCGAGAAGGCCACAGGTCTTGGCCGGAACTACCTCTCAGGCTCTCACTAACTTGTAAGACCCTTTTCTTAAACGAGACTTGCCTTCACTAGTTTGGACTCTGACTACTAGGAGCATGGACGCTACTAGGGGCTCCTGGCCGTACTACTAGGAACAAGAAGCTACTAGGGGCTCCTGGCATCGCTACCAACGGAGCGATCGGACTTCAGCCGTTTCCTCCAGGGCAGCGCAGCTTCCCTGCGCTCCACGGGTGCTTCGCCGGCGCCGGCGACCAGCAGCTGGGGTGTGGCGACCGGCTGCGCCTTGGCGGCGGCGGCTGTGGCGGCACCCGTGATCAACCGCCGGGGAGCTGGTACGGCCAGACAGGTGGTGGGCGTGTGCCTCCCGTGGCCTGGGCTCAAAGAGAGTTGCTTTGATGTGTCCTTTTCTAATTCATACTGGATCATATTAGCAATCTGTACTGCATAATCTGATATAATCTGCATACTTTGATGATTTGATTTTTGTACTTTACAACCTTTTGCAGTTCAATGTGGCTTTTTCTGAGGTAGGTGTCGGCTCAAACTCTCATTTTTTTAAAAAATAGTTTTCACGTGCACTTGAGCCTGACCTGTTCCATGCTCGTTCCATACTGTTTTGGGTGGAGCTCTTTCCATACATCACCGGCCGCGTCACGGGCCGTGTCGAGATTGGACGCTGACTTCCCCAGGTTGACCGATAAGTTCGACCCCCTGAACCTCGGCAACACGGATGCCAAGCTGGACCGCTACACGCAGGTGGAGATCAAACACGGTGGCTCGGAAACCGCTCGCGATGGCCTCCGACCGCGCGTAGCATCCTTGTTACTAGGGGCTCCTGGCATCGCTACTAGGAGCAAGAATGCTACTAGGAACAAAGGGCTAGTATCAAGGCCAGGAGCCCCTAGTGGCGTCCTTGCTGCTAGTAGCGATGCCCTTTGCTCCTAGTAGCGATGGTCAATGTTCAATGTGGAGTGATTTCAATTGGCCCCCCTGAAGTAGAATCGACCGTCGTCGAGTGTCTTCTTGTTGTTTTGGTGGGTGGGGTGGGCTGTTTCATGCGCACCAAATTGCGCAGGGTTTGGCAATCTTGGGGAGTTGGATCAATTGTTGTCATGGCGAGAAGGGCCATCGCCGTGAATGACCACCCCCAATCCTCAAAAACTTGATTTGTTTGACCGTTTGTTGTGCCGGCCTGGTGAAATGATTGATCATTTTCACCAAGCTGTCCTCCCACATGGTTTGGTCCTTCAGGAAGCTCTTCCAACGGCTTCCGTCGCTGTGAGGCCGGGTCGCCATGTTGGCCACTGTGGGCTGCTGAGCTCAATGTGGGGGAAGGGGCCGGTGGGGGCTGAGAGGAGCGGGTTTTGGGCTTGGCCCAGGACAGCAGGCGGTTTAGCGGGCTGCCAAACGTGCTTGCCACCGGGCGAAAGGACGATAAAAACGCATAAAAATGCAACTCTTAAGTGACAAAGCCATCTTAGGGAGGTGTTCCAAAGCGGCAGGTCTAAGTGGTCGGGCCATGTCGGGCCCCAACCCTTCAAGCACATTCGGAGTCAATGTATATTCACATCATTTCCCATCTACTCATCCGTGCCATCATTTGGTTTCTGTCCTCACTGAGGCTACATCATGCCCGAGATCTTCCGCTTCCCCGGCTGCGAAAGCTTCACGCACGGCCTCGGCGCTTTGGAGACATTGCCTTTCGAAGGTGCTACACGAAGAAAAGGGTGTATAAATCAAGTCTGAAGACGCCAGAAGAACAATAGAAAATTACACGAGGTCAAAGATGATGACGCATGATGAAGCATATTTTTCCACAAGTCGGAAGAATTCCTCGGAATCAGCATGAGCCCTTCGAAGGTTGGATTCAGTTGGCGGGCCTCCTGGGCGCTCACGAGGTCCTTGCACCTCGGTGGATCACTTGGCCCTTGTGACTTAGTAGCTTCATGTAGCTTCTACAGCTACGTTCGTTGCGATGCACATGTTCCTAATAGCGATGTCCTTTGCTGCTAGTAGCTTCTTGTTCCTATAGTTGGCTAGTGGTGGGCCAGTGTCCCTTTCTTTTCATGTCGTTCTTCCGAAACCGAAACGGAGACCGTCAACGAGGTCGGTCGTCGAAGCTCGAAGCGAAGCTGGAAGCCGAGGTGAAGCCCCGTGCGGGTGGCATGGGCCCCAACGACTTCGGCCTGGGCACCGAGCTCTTGGACGGCATCGACGACGCCGAGCTGGAGCGCCGCATGACGGTGGAGCGCAACAACGGGCGCCTGGCGATGGTCGCCATTATGGGGCTGATGGTGCAGGCGTCGGTGGGTGTGTGGTTCAAGTTCTAGGTGTTTGGGGTTGAGAGGTGCTTTCTATTGCTTTCTGGGTAAAGTATTTTCGGGCAAATAGGAGAAGGATGGGTTTTGTAATGTTTTGTATGGTTTCGTAATTTTGGATGGATTCTGCAATTGATGCACGGTTTGTCGGTCGATGTTTCTCGGATGGATGCTTGATGGTGGGAGGTGCTGAGGTTCTTTGGGCTGTTCGGCGCAATAGTTCGGTGCCAAAATCTTGCGAAGATGGAGGGGTTTGTCTCTGAGATTCCAGTGCAAGGTGGAGGTTATATAGGCAGATTGGAGTCCTACATCAAATGTGTCGTGAGGCAGCGCAAATGCTACTCAAAGCGCCCTTATAATACATTTTTTTTCCTGCCTGTCTCGATTTTCGTGGGACTGGTCAGGATGGCATGTTTGGCGAGCCACCTCTGACCTACATGTCCAAGAATGGCTGGTGGGGTGAGCCTGTTCAGTGGTATGTGCAGCACATCAACAACTGCCAATCCAGCATTGACTCCGTTGTGCACCTTGGGCCATTGGAGGGTTTTCAAACTCATATAGAGAGAGGCCGTTTGGAGCGATGTCGAAGAGGGGCCCCAAAAGGCTGATAGATTGATCAGGAGGCCCAACTTTTTCAATGATGGAAGAATTCTGGCGAAGTGGCAGCGAAGGTGGAGAAGCATGACGGTTCTATTTAAGGGGCTGAGAGGGACGTGTTCTTCATGTGTTCTTCGCCTTGCGCGCCGACACGAGCTGAACCGCTTCGACTCGCAGCCCAGGCAGAACGCGAACGTTTGCGCTTTGCCTCGGCGCATTGGGCGCACCCAGATGAGGGCCTCAGCCAAGCTGAGCGAAGGGCCCTTCATTGAGACTGAGACCTACCCTAAGGAGCGCTGTGAGTCTCACTGGAAACCAATGGCAACAGTAGAGGCATGACAAATTTTAATATTTTGCAAGCTTCTACTAGACGACGCTACTAGGAGCAAAGGGCATCGCTACGAACGGAGCAAGGACGCTACTAGGGGCCCCTGGCCTTACTACTAGGACCAAGAAGCTAATAGAAACATATAGAAACCACAAGAAGCTAGGAATGACATTCGGACATTCGGCGAGAGGACGTGGTTGTTCCAGCTGTTGGGTTCAAACAATGACCGACGGCCAGTCGGGTCAACAGGCAAAGGTGGTCGACCATCCCCATGACCAGTCGGCCCCAGAGATTGACATCAAGTAGGTGCACTGCATGGGGCACTTCTGGACCTTTGCACGTTGCACACGACATATCGCGACATACTACCGCATGCTAACGCATGCCTCAGAAGTTGGAGAAGCTAAGAGGCCTGCTAAGCAGCTCTCACGGGTATGATTCTGCCTCAGGAGATGGAGATGTCAGCAGCGGTGCCATTCCTCCGCTATCCGCAGGCACAATGCTAAAGTGTAGGATGAAAAGGGGCTGAAGTGCTTTTCCACAAAGAGTCACAAGGTGCCATGCACCTCCCACCTCCCGCCTCCCATCAACACCTTGAGATCAACCCGCTTACCGAAAAGACGACCCGAACATTCACGTGAGCCCATTGGTAAAAAAAAGAGATTTGGTAAAGATAATTAATATGTTAAACACATGTAGTAAATAGTAAATAGATGTGTAAGTAAATAGATGTTTTAGTAATGTGTAGTAAAGAAGAGACCACACTTTCTTCACAGAATTCTTTCGCTTTCTCCTCCCTCCAGGTCTTGAAGGGCTGGGTGGGCGAGGAGAAGGGCTTCGATCCGCTGGGCGTCACCGACGCGCTCCCGGTCTACTGGGTGCGAGAGGCGGAGTTGAAGCACGGCAGGGTCTGCATGTTGGCCACCGTCACCTGGAAAAAAAGGGAAGGCACCGAAAGGAGAAAGACAAAGAAAGACAAACACACATCTATAACATTCTATAACAAGTTTATGTCGCGATATGTTGAGCATGTGTGGGCTTTCGCATGCCGTGGCAGCGGAGTGCAGTTTTTACAGTGCAACCGTGCGCTATGAGACACCTGCCACCGGTTGTTTGCAGGAAAGTCTTGAAGTGTTAGAAGTTTTGAAGGTGTTGGGAGAGGTTTTGGGAAAAAGAGGTTTGGATCAGACTTCCCAACCACCACGCGTGTGATCGCCTTGGGGTTTTCGAGGCTGTGTCGATTCTGAGGAACCACTGGCGGAGACTCGATTTTGGACCTTTTTTGGATGGGTCCGAGCGTTGACCAGTCGCTTGGACCAAGGTGGGTTGGATCGCCGTGGACATGGGTTTCCGCTTCCCGGGCGACAAGTTCCAGGCGGTGGCCAACAGCTTTCAGGCCCATGACCAGATGGTGGAGGCCTTGGGGATGTCTCACCGCGTTTTCGTGTGAAGGAGCAGTGGCATGCGTGCTTGAAGTGGCCAGGGATCCTTTCCTAAACCCCTCTCATATCCTCACATACCCAAAGGTCCCATAGGATACTCTTACTAAAAGGCAAAAGGCTTTGGAAAGAAATGTCCGTCACCAAAGTGTCAAAGGACACACTATGGGTTTGGAGGAAGGTGGAGTGTGAGAGGAGGGGCTGCATGAGAGGCTGACTTGTGCTTGTCATTATTTGAGCCAGCTGTCGTTGGAGGGTTGTTTCTCCAGGGCCATAGGAAGTGCCAAGGCTTCTTTGTCCGATTGTATCAGCGACTCCCCTTCAAAGAGGAACATCTACCTTTGCCAAGAGTTCGTTTCACACTCTCATAACAAGAAACTACTAGGTTGAAGGCCATTGCTTCTAGGTTGGAGGCCATCGCTACTAGGTTGGAGGCCATTGCTTCTAGGTTGGAGGCCATCGCTACGAGGGTGGAGGTCATCGCTACTAGGGTGGAGGCCATCGCAGGCCATAGCCATAGCTACTGGGGTGGAGGCCATCACTACTAGGGTGGAGGCCATCGCTACTAGGTGGAGGCCATCTACCAGGGTGGAGACCATCGCTACGAGGTGGAGGCCATGGCTACTAGGTGGAGGCCATAGCTACTAGGGTGGAGTCCATCACTACTAGGGTGGTGGCCCATCGCTACTAGTGGAGGCCATAGCTACTAGTAGCAAGTGAGGGCTAAGTACCATCATTTTCCCTTCGGATCGTCACTTGGTCGAAATTTTCGCGCCAGGCAGGCTACATGCTCCCCTTCCTGGGTGCCATTGGCACCGTGGAGCTTTACTCCGGATGGCTCTTGTACCAGGGCTGGTTGAATGAAGTGAAGCGGGATGCCGGAGACTTCTTCGTGGGCACCTGGGCCGATGAGAAAGGCAATGAAGCCATGCGCTGCAGGAAAGATACATTTAAATAACGGGTGTGCGGTGTATGTATACGCATATTTGTTTGTGCATGCATATGGTCTAGCCTATTTGTGCACACATAGAATACGTAATTAAGTGATCCGAATTATGCAGTTGTTTGGATTGCCCAGCAGCTGCGGCACGGAATGGCATGCATCTTCACAAATGACCACGGAGTCATTCAAATGATTCGAGATGATGCGCAAATGGATCTCCAAATGATCAAAGCTGTGGTGTTTCTTGTGGCATACGGCGTGCAATCACCTAGACTTGAACCGAGTGGGTTGTGTCAATTCTTCTTCCCTTACAATCAGTTTCACTCCGGCCATGAGGCAAGAATTTCCTCCCAAAGGAGCCTGCCAAGGAGAAGGACATGCGCCTCAAGGAACTCGAGACCTGGCATTTTCCGTGGCACAACGCGTCCGGTTTCACCCTGTGGGATCTTATTGGCATACCGTCGAAACAAGGTTCGCTACTAGTAACAAGTGCATCGCTTCTAGTAACAAGTGCCTTACTAGTAATAACTATGTTTGCTACTGCTTTAAAATTCATTCTAATAGCTTTTTGTTACTACTAGTAAGGCACTTGTTACTAGTAGCGAACGTTGTTTCGACATACTGACATCGGGTGGATGTGGAGGGGCCACTTATCACTTGCGAGAGCTTCCGACTAAGGAGAACGGCCGCCTGGCGATGTTCGCCTTCAGCGGCATCGTAACACAGGCGGCGCTGACCGGAAAGAGCTGGCCTTTCATGTAGATTTTATCAAAAGAGCCTTGGGACTGAAGGATGCGCTAGTCAAGAATTATTGACACAAACATTTAGGGGTCATGTCATGTCACACACCTGATTTATCAAGGCCCCCCCTCTCACATGACCTCATATATAGACTTAGCTACTGTTTTAGTGTTGGTAGTATTGGCCTTGCTTTTGGGACTACATGGATTGAAAGTAGATTAGTAACGAATCTAGAAACAAGAAGGAATGGAGGAATTAGATCTAGAAACAAGGAATCTAGAAAAGGAATTAAACTTAGAAACTAGGATTCGGATTGGGGATATCTAGGTCTAGTGGTAAAAACGTTTAACTTTATCTAGGGTGTATATAATTGTGTTTTGGGTTTTGCTTAGCTTTATTAAGGGTAGGTTGATAAATCATAGGTTGACATTAGATACAGTTAATTACAGGCTAGGATTTTCAATTGAAATACGGTTCAAGAGCAGGCTGAGAAGGACTCCGGAAGCTACACCGGACATTCAACATGAGGCGGACCCGATCTGTTTCCAATTGGCCAATTGAATTCCTCTTATCACAGCGGATTCCTTCGGGTCACAGCTGTGTGAGGCAGTCTCCCAATTCGAACCGACGGCCGAGGATCGGTGGCTGATAGCATTGGAGCCGCCAAAAAGGGCTGAGCCGCATCCGCTCCCGTGCCACATCGGGCATAGAAACGCATCACCTGCGTTCTGCCGGACGGAGATTCTCCGTCTTTAGTTGGAGATGTGATGCAGTGGCATTCCAACAATCGTTTGATTTGGGTCTTCATGCTCTTTCTCATCATTGTGAGAGTCCTGCTAGAATTATATCCTGAACCACCTTTGTTCATCAAAGATCGTGGACGTTTCATTGCGGTGGCCAGGGGGAAGGACGTACTTATCAGAAACTTCACTCTAAAACCAATTCTGGTTGCCAAACCTTCCGCCAAGCCTTGCCCTTTATTCTTCCGCGCGACCGTTAGAGAGGCGCCCCAGCGAATGGACGCCGTCGAACGGCTCGTTGGAATGTTGTTTTAGGCTGCGGAAGCTCCTCACGATGGCCACTACCTGCATGAGACGCTGCGACGCACGTGGAGTTGGGGCACTTCGACACACTTTTGGTCAAAAAGGGAGCAAGAGAAGTGAATTTCTGCGTACGGTGAGCCACTCAGAGGTGATGGCAGCCATGGCCAGTTGAGAGAGCCCTTGTGGAAGAACGGCCCACGATCAAAGCATTTCTTCCAGGAATCGTTGATGTTCACTTGCTCCCCCCTGAAGGCCTTCTCTTTTCCAATGTGGGAGTTGGGTTGAGACAGGATGATAAGCTTGTTTTGGATCAGCTCAACGTCTAGCGGCCCGACGCCGGTTGACACCCCACTGACTGGTCGTGTCTTTTCTCTTGGCTCCCAGGAACTTTGTGCTGGTCCTTCATTTTCTGCTTCATGGTGATGACACTCAGCTTCAGTGATGGGGCAGGATTAACAGGTCGGCCAGGGCCATTTTAAATCCTGACATGTTGGCCAAGCCTTCTCCAAGCATGTTAGTATCTCTAGTCCAACTGGGAGCTTGGCCATCTCAGAAGCTCACATTCCCAGCTTTGCCTTTTGCTTACTACGTAAGTTTCCCCAAAAAAGTCTAGGCACCAAATCATTAGTGCGAGGGCTTCTTCAAGGAAGCTGCGGGGGGAGCTTCCTTGAAGAAGCGTGAGCTATCCTGCGTCCAGAATTCAGATGAAAATGAAAAGAAGTAGGCGTATACGGTATACATAATGAAGATTACATGGTTGTAAGGGCAGGGCTTCAACAAATACCAAGGGAAAGTGGACCTTCGAAATCGCTCGTGGACGAGGACCATTTGGGCCATGCTGCTCGTGGACGTGGTCCAGCCGCTGCTCGGTGGGGGAGCGAGTCTCGGGTGTCATGTGGCTCCGGACTCGTAGCGATGCCCGAAATGCTCCGGACTCGTCGCGTTCTTGCTAGTAGTAAGGCCAGGAGCCCCTAGTAGCTTCTTGTTACTACTAGTAAGGCACCTGTTACTACTAGCGTGGCACTTGTTCCTAGTAGCTTCTTGCTCCTAGTAGTAAGGCCAGGAGCCCCTAGTAAGTATAGCTTCTTTTTAAACACTTCAGTGCTCTGATGCCAAGCTACATCAAGCAGCCCAGGTTGATCTTGAAGCTTCACGAAGATCGGGGCACCTTTGCAGATTGCGACTCTCAGCCGCGGGGGGAATCTGTGATCCGAAGTCTGACAAAGTACTGGAGCAGCTATAGTCAGTTGCTGTGTTTGGATGGACCGGTTGACCCTCATCCCATCGCTAGCCGCTAGTTGTTCCGCCCTCCCTGGGCGCGTCCCAGAGTCCGATCCCAAGGAGCAGTGCCTCCGGGCGGCATCTTCCGCCCGGGCGCCTGGGAGCCGACGATCCTTCCACGTGCGGCGATTTCGCGACGACACGGCGACGCAAACGGCCGAAGCCTCTCAGGTGATGGACGCGAACCTGCTTCTCTTCAAGCGCCTTGGAGCAAAACGGCAGCTGCTCGACTCGACTCGACTCGACTCACGTGTTTCGACTTGTTTCTAGTCGGCGGCCGACTGGGGCCAGTCTGCCGCTTTCTCTTTGTTTTGAAGGGTGCCATGGGGTGAGTCGATACACATCGACGTCGTCGAACGTTGAGGCACCCGTTTCTTTGTTCGGGCCGGCGACCGGGCGACGCCGTCTTCGCCATGCAATCCCTCACGTAGGTTGGTGCGAAGCAGGCGAAGCCGATGTTTCTTTCCAAGGGGAGTTGTTTGTTGAGGATGTTTTTTGGTTGATGTTCAGAATCTGTGGTGGCCAACATGCCCACCACTAGCGCACAAGAGGGCAGAAGTGCACTCCTGGAGTCCTCTCAGGACAGTCATCGCGGGAGACGGCTGGGGCAAGATTGCTATACCCGTCATTGAGGCGAGCGCCTATTCAATTCTTTTCAAACATCGCTTTGTTCGTAGACTTTGCTTGCAGTTGAAGTGCCGTCACATCATGAGGGATCGAAGCTGGTTAGCATACACAATTTTAAAGATACAAAAGCAATCACAAGCATCAGATCCTTGCAAATCGTGACATGCTTTCCAGTCAGGTGGGTTGATTGGTAGGATTCGGTCGATTCTGCTGCACCGCACCCCCTTAATCCCTCCAAAACTGCACCAACGTGTGCCAAGAAGGACCTTCAGCAGCTTCCGGGTTCGTTTTTCATTCCCTCGGAGCTTTGCGCACGTGCGCAAGTCCTGGAATCAACTGTAGCTGGGTAAAGCCAGAAATTAAGGTTACCACCCTTGATGACATCTTGATGACCCTAAGGCTCCTACAGGACCTTCCAGTCACTGCACCCCCCCTGACCCCCAGTCCATGCGACCGTCCGTCTTTCGGCAACGTCGGGAGGCCTATCCCGGCACTGCCGTGATCTTCGTGGGATCCTTGCTCACCTTGGTCTTCGGAGCAGCTTGGCTGACGCGGAGTGAGCTACTAGTAGCTTCTTGCTCCTATATAGTAATAAGGCCAGGAGCGCCCCTAGTAGCGTCCTTGCTAACCTTGGTCTTTGGCGCCTTTCGGCCTTTCGGCCGAAGAGCTTTGAATTCTGATGACGCTCCTCGAGGTAAAAAGGTCTAATTTCTCTTTCAGGATGTTGTTTTGCTAGTTTCGGAGTTCTTTCTGAATTATAGCCTGCTATAATGTTCTTTTTTTTGCGGGCGTTATTTTTTAAAGATGTGTTTTCACCAAGTTTTTGGAGACTTGCTTTTGGTTTTACTGCTTTTGTGCTTTTGGTGTTTGCCTAGTTTTTTGTTTTTACCCCGGCTTGTTTATTTTTGTCGCTTTGGTTGCTTTGCTGCTCTTGCTGTTTTTTCTGGTTTTGTTGCTTCTGTTGCTGTTTGGTCTACTGTGCTACTTGTTGCTGTTCAGTCTACTGTGTCGTGCACTGCTGCGCAACTTGCCCACACTCATATTTCGTACATAAATGGGCTCTGCGAATGTGTATGTCATGATAGTTTTGTGGTGTTGATGTGTTGGTGGGACAAGACACTGAAGTAGAGCACTGCTTACACGTGGTGCTTACAAGACGCATTATTGCCAAAATTTAGGTAAACTTTAGAGGAGGTAGAAGCCATTCCAACGTAACAGCCGTTTTGTGAGCCACCCAAGGGTAAAAGAGAAAGAAGCCACTCCAAGGTAGCAGACCTTTTGTGAGCCACCCAAGGGTAAATATAGAGGAGGAAAGTGCCATTCCAACATAGCAGACATTTTGTGAGCCACCCGAGATAAATTTAGAGGAGGACAGTGCATTTCCAACATAGTGCACTTCCAACATAGCAGACTTTTTGTCAACCACCCGAGGGTAAATTTAGAGGAGGCAAGTGACATTCCAACATAGCAGACCTTGTGTGAGCCGCCCGCGGGTAAATTTTCCAGGAGGAAAGTGCAACTCCAACATAACAGACTTTTTTGTGAGCGAGCCGAGGGTAATTTTAAGAGGAGGTAGGAGCCATTCCCTTGTGTGGCCATTCCACTCGTGGGAGCCGGATGGAAATAGAAACCAATATAGGCCAATATATCGTAGCTAGTAGTTTTCTATTGGCTCCCCACTTGAATTCCTAACTGTTTCTTGCCTACCCTTGTAAACGGCTCCGGCCGCAAAGCTCCACGTTGGGCGAGCACTCATCACCCCCAAAGCCCCATGAGTTCATTTCGGCCGGAGCTTGTTTCCACTCGGGTGTGTTGAGAAGGCTGGCGGGATCGCACTTGGAGCAGGTCACGCAGGTCACGCATACACCTGTGGTACCGTTCCAATGTCTGTTCCAACCCCAACCGGCGCCAACTCAGCGCGGGAAATGAACTGAGGTGCTGAACCTCATTGTGGCTGTGGTCGTAGACACTTTTGCCGAGGCTAGAGAACGCGATGTCCTGAACCTGGCTGAGGAGGGCTGACAAAAGGTTTGTTCTGCGGGGGCGACATGCTCAACATATGCAAAGACACCATTTTCTGATCACACCGCGCTCTGGTTTCACCAGACCAGCCCGCCCTTGTTTGAATGAGCATTTTGATACAGTCGCTTATCGAAGGAGATGGAAACCGATATCGAGATGGACAAAAAATTCCTCCAGTAGCTTGGCGAATTGTGAATTTCGTTCACCGCTACGACCAACCAGGAGGTGGCCCGCAACGAGGAAACAAAATCTTATTCGGAAGTCTTGCAGAGGTATAGGCATTGTATAGTAATGTATAGTATAGGTGTTTCCTGACCCTTCTCAACTCAGGGTTTGATCGAAACCACAGAGGCTGCAAAACATGTTCCTGAGCAGCAAATTTCAATAATAACAACTGAAGCAAAGGACTATTAAGAGAGCAGTTGCTTCCTCCTGCTTTCCCAGGAAAATCTTCGACCGTGTAGATGAGGATGGAAGTTGCTTGGTCAACTTGAGATAGCCCAGAGGACTTGGGTGGAGAGTGGTTGTGGCCAGCCTGGGAAGTGGCCTTTCACATAAGTTTCGAGGACATGTTCGAGCACCCTCCCATAGCTCCATGGTCTTGGGAAAATAGGATGCACCCGAAGAACCAGGATAGGGCCTAGGGGATGTCCCAGCCTTGAGGCTCCTTCGACGGATGAGCGGGACATCAGTCGTCGCACGTATGACGCTCGCGGGGCGCTGGCGCTCGGATGTCACC